CCCTAGATAATATTTCCATTTTTTCTGTTAACCTCTTTGCATACTATAAATAAAGGTTTTCCTATTGAAATTTAGATATATAATCTCCTTCAAGACTCAGTTAAAACTCATCTGCTTCTGGAGGCCTTCTGACTCTCTAACTCTCTCCAACTTTCTCTTTCTTTCTCTCTCTCTCTCTTTCTCTCTTTCTTCTGCACTTGGATGTGCATGATACTCTTTCCAGGATACTTTCTGCCTTCAAATGCTTGTCAAGTGTATATGTTTTCTTTTCATCTCCATGCTAGATTGGAAACCTCTCAAGGGCAGGAATCTTGCCCTTTTGAGTTGTCCTCTATCCCCATCAGCACCACACACCAAAGAACTTAAATGTGTGCTGACTATCTGATTTACCCATGCTTTCTTTCATCTGAGTGTATTAAGTTCATCAGCAGCTGGTTGAGCATGCTGATTTGAAAATGTATACAATAAGTGATACATTTCATGTTTGGTGAATAACTGCTCTCACTTTAAAATTCTAAAGTGTAGCATAAAAATAGCATATGACAAGGCTGTCCATCTGGAAGTAGCGTTCTGTTCATTACAAAGTGAGAAGACACTAAATCCTGAAGAGGCCTCAAATTGGAGAGATCAGTGAAGTGTTTTGCCAACAGGAAAGGAAGATGATTGCTTTTCTCAAACTGCACCATGTTGCCAAGTATAGGAATCCAGCTGTTATGTGAGATTTATACTCATTTCACTTAACTATAAATGCATCATGCATCATTTTTCTTTAATTACTCAGATTAGCTGGGTAGGTGTAGGTGATGCACTGAGGTCTGAGCATCATTAAGATGAGCTACTGTGTGATAAAGTGAAAGAAAATATTTTTGTAGTAAATGGAGGAAAAAGTATGTTTATGTGAAAAAATAAGATCTTGTCAATGCAACAATCTAATTAGTGTTAAAATCTCTTTAGTTATCCAGAACTGAGAATCTTCCAATTATAAATGAAGTCATTTTGTAGAAGAAATCTATACCACTTTTTTTTTTAATTCTTAATTACTTTTCTATTTTGTGCCCTCATATTCAGGGCATTCCGATGGACAGCTTTAGCTTCTATAAGCATGTTTGCATTCCTTTTTCCTCAAATCTCTGAAAAACTTTTAATTTCCTGAATTTTGACATCAGAATTCCTGGCCAGATCTTCAAAACATCTATCCAATCCTTCTACTCTTCCTAAAACAACTCAGTTCTTATATGAATTTCCAGCTGTTGTGTGAGTTTTATGCTTGTCCAATTTTCTCTGTTGAATACTTTTAAGATTTTTCTCAAAATGTTCCATATCCTCAAAGTAGCCCCTATTCTGTCCATCATATTTGGAAGCAATTTTTATCTCTTACTGGAAACCTTCACCCACTTTTTTAACTTGGTTCCACATCCTAATGGCACCTGCTTCAGTAGCATATCTGCTTATGGGCACCCACATATTTTCATTATCCATGTTTAACATCTGTACACATATGTATGTGTTTTGTTCATCAATAAATGGTTGATAAATTGAATACAACTTTGTTACTGTTTGATGTTCATCGCATTATAATTTTGTTGAAAATCAAGGCTGTGTTGTCTTATATTGTGTCAAACCTCTTGACACCTAGAATAATGCCATATACAAAGAAGGTATTAATGATTAAAGTGATTAATCTAAGGTAATGAACTTCCATTGTTCTCTCCCTACCCTCCCCGCCATTTTCCACACAACCATTCAAGTGCACGGCTCCTGTCGAAATCCCAGTTTTGACTCTCTTCAGATGACTCACTGATAGAACAATTATTGTTCTATCAGTTATTATTATGTAGCATATCTATATAAGTACAGTATTGTACAACCATTTATAATTTTTATTAATCATTATAATTGCCACACTGCACTGAAATGGTTCAGTTGCTTCCTGTGGATAGATAGCCTAATAGCACTACAGTAAACTCTGTACATTCTCCATCACACTTTGATTTGTGTGAACTCTCAAGTTTCACACGATTTATAAATGTATAGCCTTTGCATAACAACATATCCTGTCTTGTTTTGCAAATGTAATCATTTACACTGTCTTAAGCCAACTTAAATTTCTTAGACATTTGCCTCGAGTCTCACTTTAGTGCTTCTCTAGGCCAAGTCAGAACATTAATCAAGGATTTGTGAATAACATGGCTTTAAAAAAAGAAAAAAAAGAATCAGACAGCAGGGTAAATACATGTAATAAGATCTGCAGAATTATGGTTACTTTTTAAGTGACTATTTTATCTTTCCAATGACCGATCTACAAGAGAGAGATAAAGTTTTAAAATTTTTAAAAATTGGCCTGGTTTCAGTAATTCTCTGAGGAGACAATGACCTGCATGACATCAAATATGAAAGGATAATTTAGTTCCTTAGGCACTCAGTGAGGATTCAATTGTGTCAGAAACAATACCTTCCCTTATGAAGAGAAGTACTTCAAATTTTACAAGCAGGCATAGGACTATGATCCAGGAAATATATAATTTGTTTATCTACTATGCCTCTAAGCTAAAGAATACACAAAGCTCTTAAATTATCTGAGCTTTCTAAAGGTATGAAGCTCCTACTTTGTCTTTATCTGTCTGTCTCTCTCTCTTCATATATAATATATAGACATAGAGATATACATGTACATATACATGAACATTACATTTTTCTAACTCAGGAAGCAGCAGTAATGAGGGGCATTTTGGAATGTCTCTACATTGAACACAAATTTTGTAGTGGGAAAAAATGTGCCACAAGCATGTGACATATTACACCTCCTCTTATTCTATAGGGTTATGTTTTGTGTGTGTGCGCTCTCTCTTATTTAATGCTATTTCTTTGAGTTATCCAAAAATATTAGAGAGAGTGCTAAAGAGTTTCAAGCCCCTTTCATTTAATATACGAATTGTGCAACAAAAATGATACCATAAATAAGAATGAATTTCTTTAAACACTAATGTTTGGAGCTTTTAAAATAGAATTCTAGAGTGTAATGTTTCATAAGGGTCATACAAAATCCTGTAGAGAGCAATATGACTTTGAGTGGGGAAAGAGGGATGTACCACATCTGGCTTACAAATTGCTTCAGATTCTTCACGTCTGCAAAACTCAAGAACAGCAATTCCGATTGGCTGAACAAGTTTAGGGAATTACCTTACAGATGCAGTAACAGTGAAGAAAGTTCAGTTCAATTTCTGCAAGCACTAATCCAAATGAGAACCGCAAGCAAAGCAATGAGTAGTGATTTTTTTCCCCCAGTTCTTAATGCTCTAGGCAAGGGATTCAATCCTAGGGGCTGTGCTATTGAGAACAGGGAAGAATACTGAGCAATGGGGAGTGATTTCGGGGTGTGCTGTTGTTGGCACTGGTGGAGAAGAAATAACAAATCAGAAGGAAAAATAAAGAGGCAACTGGGAATAATAAAAGATAAGTAAGACTATCAGTGAAAAATAATATTTTTATAAAATGATAAATGGGGAGAAAATATTTGTTCTCTTGAGACACAAAAACTTTTAAAAGAAGTCGTCTGATCTTTAGAGGGCTGGAAGTGTTAATAATGTACTTGGGGATATTTAAGTTATTGTTACTGGTTTGCTGACATACCCAAATGGCTTTTGGGTAAGTAACAATCTTCCATTTAAAATCTGTCTGCCCTGCTGACACTCTCTGATCACATTGCTTACTCAGAGCAGGTGTTTCATGAAACCAGCTTTCAGTGCCAATAATGAAGCACCTTAGAGGGTCCATATCTCAGCACAGATGTATTTAGTTTTGAAGTCTGAAATCTCTGGTGTGCTCAAATTTGGAAATTTAAAGCAAAGAGCAAATAGTTTTCTTGTGTAATGTTAATGTCTTTCTCTTCTTCTTTAGAAAATATGTGGGCTTCATGTGTTAGAAATGGATGTTATTTTCCCTGCATTATGGCACCATAGGAAAGATCTGTGAGGCAGAGAAGCTTTTATTCTCATTATACAGTATACGTGGTAGCACTAAGAAATATGAAATCCTTCACTGGTGCAGACTAAAAGATTTCCATTTCGTCTGGAGGGGAAATGTGCCAAAGTGGCTGAAAATAATTCAAGTAATTGGCAAAGAGCTGTACTCTTAAGGAGCCTTTTGGTGTAATTTGATTTTGTGCCTTTTAGGGGAGCAAGTGAGATGTGATTCTACCTGCCCCAGAGGGCCAAGAGATTTTAAACATTATAGAATCCTTAAGGTAGATGATGATGAACTACAATGTCAAAAGACACGTGGAATTGTGATATTCTTAAGAAATAATAATAATAAAGCTAATGCTCAACTGAGTTAAAGAACGTCGCTTACCATGCATAGTCTGTATTTTGCCTTAACACTGAGAAAACAGTCTCATTTAAGAGCTACATGCTCCTCTGCCTACAAATTTATAGGCTTATTGCTAAATTCCATAAGTGCTGTTAGTAATAATGGATGGCAATAACCAATTTGATCAGGATCAGCCATTTATAATTTATAGATGGGCACCCATGGCATTACAGTACAATGATCCTGCTTACCACAAGTCCTAAACTTGCAGGGCAGCCAAGTTTGTGTTGGCACAGTCCTACGTTAAGTCCCCACCAGCATCCCCTCTCCTTATGGTCTCTTCATGTATCTTGGATCTTCTTCACACAGAGGCTTAGAGTCTATTAGTTTTGAATTTATTCCTCCTCTATTACTAAGGAAAAGACAGCTTTTTGTTTTGCTTTTTCCTTTGGGGACATGCCAATTTCTTTAAAATAATTTTAGTGGTAAAATTTTAAGCAATTTTACACAAGGAACACTTAAACATTTCTCTTTTTCTGAGACCTGAATGTAAGGCAGCCTCTGACTATATTAATATTTCTCATATGGAAATAAGTAGAAGATTTGAGTTCCTATCTACTCCAAGACTGTACAGCCAACTTGTAACTTCAGCATTGAGTATACCTGCTTTCTTTTCCCTTGCTTACCCACAGAATTAAGGAAGAAGAAGAAAAGGCTGAAGGAGAAGCCTCAGGACAAGGCCATACATGTATAGCACAGCATATTAATGTTGGGGCTCTGGAGAATCCTCCCACCAGCAGACCATCCTAAACTTCAGGAGTCCTCACGTATTCCCTTAGCTCAGTGGTTCTCAAACTTTAGCTCAAATAAAAATCACCTAAGGGCTTGTTTAAAAAACAGCTTGATTGGTCCCATTCTCAGAGTTCTTTAATCCATAGGTCTTAGGTGGGGATGGATATTTATATTTTTAACACATATCCAACTCATGTTAATGCTGTTTTTCAAGGGACCGCACCATGGCTCAATAGTCCCATCCCCCCCAAACATCTTATTTCGCATACTCCCCAACAATTATATTTAGCATACCCTAAGCATCACACAGAAATATGTAATATTTGAAGTTCAGAACTAGCATTTATTGTCTAAAAAAAAATCTTTGTTCATGTTTTTATACAATTCTATGAATAAAGTGTCCCAATTTCATTATTAGGTTCAATGAAAAACATAGGATTTGAAAGTCAGTAAAGGACTTCCAGTTTTAAATACCTCATCTGATATGGGGTAGGTATATTTCTCCCTGGTGTGCCTATTAAGAAATACTAAAATTCTGGACGTTATATATGAAAGAAACATAAGAAGACTGTAAAGGGAGGAGAAAGGTAGGTGAGCTGGGGACCTGAGAAGTGACATGGCAGTGAATTCCCTGGGTTTCCTTTTGACCGATATATATATATCCCAGACCAGATGCTGGAGAAGCAGCAGTCCAGAAATACCACTGGGTGCAAACCAAAAATATCCAACTCAAACCTGCTCTCACTAGACAAGGGACCAGGCAAGGGCGCAAGCCAAAAACTTTTAGGGGATAACTGATCTACTGCAGCCAAGCACCATGGGAAAAACTGTAGAAGAGGGGGAAAATGGAGAGATGTTGGTCAAAGGGTACAAAATTTCAGTTATAAGCTAGGTAAGTTCTAGGTATCTAAAGTAGAGCATTGTAACTATGGTTAACAATAATGTATGCTTGAACTTTGCTAAGAGAGTAAATCTTAAATGTTTTCACCACATACACACACGCGTGCGCAAAATGGTAACTATGGAAAGTAATGGATATATCAAGTAATCTTATTACTATAATTATTTCACAAGATATACATATATCAAATCATCACTTTGTACACCTTAGATTTACATAATGTTGTCAATTATATCTCAATGAAACTGGGGGGGGGAAACATGGCCCCATTTCCACTCTGATCAACAAAGGCTAAGTGGAAACTCAAACTTCACTCCTCCCCAGCAGCAATGAAGTGCTCATTCTTGACAGCGTGATGTTGGAGCTGGGAATTATGGGTCTGCCTCGAGATAAAAAGCTTCCTCACTTTATGGTGCCAGTGGAGACCACATGGGATCCAGGACTCCCACTTCCAACAGAATGTGATGAGGTAATCCGTTCCCCCTACCAAAGTGGTATCCCAGGAGGCCCAGTGGGAAGCCTGGACTTTCCCCACTTTCCACCAATAACAAGTCTCTCCAACTACCCTATGATGCCCATGCAGGTCACACAGAGAACAATATCAAGGAGACACTCCCTCTTCCAGCCCTGATAAGGTCAGGACAGGCCTACTAAGGACCCTGAACTTAATTTAACTCCACCAAGCAGGAGTAAGGAGGCAATCCCCTCTACATGGTCAACAAAAGAGTACCAGGACTTGTACCCCCATTTAGCAGTGATGAGGTGACCTGGTACCCCCAACCTGTGCCTACCAGCATGGTATCACAAAGAAGTCTGCTCACACATAAGATTTATGTTTGTCTCATAAGATAATACACAAAATGTCCAGGATACAATTTAAAAAATACTCAGGGGTGCCTGGGTGGCTCAGTTGGTCCGAGCATCCCATTCTTGATTCAGCTGAGGTCTGTCTTCATCTCAGGGTCGTGAGTTTAAGCCCTGCATTGAACTCTACACTGGGTGTAGAGCTTACTTAAATAAACAAAAAACAAAAACACTCATCATTTTTTATTGGTCCTACACTTAGTCACTGGAAAATCAGAAACAAATGTTTTGTTATAGATCCCGATAAAAAATGTTCTACCCTTCTGGTCCAAATCTTACAGTGATTAGCTTTCTAAGGACAGCGAAGATTGTCCTTCTGAACAACCTTGTCCTTTACAGAGGTCAGCAGAGTGTTTATTACTCTTCAAATCAAAGGGTCTAAAATGATGGGGGTAGCTTTGTTTGCTTCTGAGGAAGAGTGTGCAATGTGCTGAGAAGGTTTTAGAGTCAGTCAGAAAAATCCATTTTTAAATCCCTGTTTTCCCTCTTACCAGGAATATGATCTTGGTTACATTTATTAACCTATCTAAGCTCTTAGTTTCTTTGCCTATAAACTGTAGTAGTAGTAGTAGCAGGAGTAGTTGTCATAATAGTAGGAACCTGGTAGTCATGTAATAGTAGCATTAATGGAAGCAGTAGTATGTGCTAGTCACTTTACCTGTATTATCTGACTCTCAGGACCAGGACTCAAAACCATGACTTTTAACTTTAAAATCTGCATCTCATCAGGCACACCATATAACCTCTCAGAGAACTAAATGCAATAGTGTCGGTTAAAAAAATTTAGTGCATTGTCAAATCACTATGTTTTACACCTGAAACAAATATAGTATCATATATCAACTATACTTCAATAATAAAAAAAAGTGCAAAAACTTTTAAAAAAGTAAAATTAGTGCAAACATAGCACTGAATGTTATCTCTCTTCATTTTCAAGTGGTTTTTACATATGTATACATATGATATATAATATCATATGTATATATATGTGTGTGTGTATAAATACACATACATATATGTAGCTTCATGTCAGTGCCTTCCCAATAAAAAATCTTCCAATTCATTTGGAAAATTTCAATGCTTTAATGTTCTTTCTCAAATCAGATAAACCCAATAGATAAAATTTCCCACTAATATAATTTAAAGATTATAGAAATTTAATAAGTTTATATTCACAAATTGTCATTTTATTTAGAATATTTTATTGAGTGCTTTATGAAGCCACTTGACTAGGTTAATGACAATAAAAAGAAACTCAAGGGTCAGTTACTATTCTGTGTACCTAGAGTCTTTAGATATTCTTATTTCCAAAGCACTATGCAGTAGAATAATGTCATCAACATTGTCAATAAATTCATTCATAAGTAAATAAATAAAGTTTCATTCAATTGGCATCAAAGCCATTTTTTTTAAATATGCAAAGGCAACCAATAAAGAAGACATGAAATTGAGAAACAGAGCTCTAGCAACAGAAGTCTAGTGAGGGGAATTTCCAGGATCATAGCTGCATAGAGGGCCTAGAAAATTAGGAGCCTATATTCAAGCAATAGATAATAATGTATTCTGGGGGGAAATCTGCTGGAGAGAACAAATGTAACAGAAAAATAATCTGATACATTTGACCATGTAAAAACTATACTGAATGCTGTTGGAGGGTGTGGAAAGAACTGGTAGATAGACAACTAGACAAATGAGAACAATAAGGAAATTTTTAACTCTAGGGGGAAAAAAAAAACATGTAAGAAAGGAAATATAGTATGCTCCTTGGTTCTACAGTGAATAGTGTTTATTTATGATAATACAAAAATTAAATATAACTGTAACTTCAAGTTGGGACATGATGCTTTTGGGATAATGATGGGAAACAGAGCAGGAGCTTTAAGAGAGCAAACACCTCATCTGCCATAATAGGAAGTTAACAGATGATGCCTACACTATACAAATCAACAATTAGCAATATTATAATATTACTTAGAAATATGAACATGAATACACAGAAGAAAAGGCTAAAAAGAGTTGAGGATAACACTAATAGAGAGCAAGGCAGAGAGTGAGAAAGGACAAGGCAGAGAAGTCAATTTTTTTAGAAATAAGATTTTAATAATGTTTTTGTTTATTAACTAGGTGTGTACTAATTTAATTTAATTTTTAAATAAGAAAACTACAAATAGTATATATGGTATTAATTTTATTTATGCAAACTTTATAAAATTAAACATAATATATTAAAGCTTTAGTATTGGGAGTTATATACACCAGAGGTGACTTCTTGCCCTTACCTCAACATAGTGTATCAGATAGGATAAGAAAAGGAATGTGATCAAATTTAATAATTTTCCAGTGTGCCAGGGAAATGCTTTCAGTCTTGTAAAACCAAACACTCCTCTAAATACAAACCTTCCTTTGCATATTTATGGAGTAAATTGCTCAGGGCTATCATGAGTTGTTAAGTGTGAGGAAAATCAAGTTGTCCCTTCATTTTAGGTCTTCTTGGCTTTTTTTCCCATTTACTTGGGGTTTTTTGTTTGTTTTCTTTTCTTTTCAGGTTTTGGTTTTTCCCTTTTAAAAAATCTCACTGTATTGTCTGGGCCATCTACATCAATATAGAACTCCATTCTGTTTCGTTTTCAGACTATGCGATATTTCTCCACCAGGGAAATCTACACTTGAAATTGTGCTTTGAAGAAATGAGGGCATCAGGGAGAAAATGTGTGAAGGTAGGAGAGCAGTGATCAAGCAGCACAGTTTGGAGGTGGAAATGAAGAGAAAGAGGGAACAGCAATCACTCTACCTCGGGCTACAGTCGGTAACTAGCAGAGTAATAGAAGACAGAGGGGAAAGGTGCTACAGATTTATCATGAATACAATCGCTCAGCGAAATCCAGAGGGACGCCAAGCATCTTTTTTCTGTCTCTTTAAACATTTTATATAATTAAAGAAATAAAACCTGCCTACAAGTTACTTTTAAAAATACTTTTCTTTCTGATCCCCAATAATTTCAGGAATCCTAAATTGTCAGAAACACACCATGATTTCAAAAACAGAGCTTCCCCCCTTTCCCCCCCAACAAGAAGGCCTGGTAGGGAAGTAAATTTCAGCCTTTAGTTATGGCTACTCTGGCTTTTCCAGGCTTATTTCTTCTTCAGACAAATTCCATTCCCCCAGAAGCTACTCTATCAAGAGCTTCTCAACCATGCTATTAATGTGAAAATGAAAAATCTGCTTTATAGAGGCAGCACTCATGGGAAGAAGCATGCTGGCTCAGTGAGCTTCTAAGACTCTTGATTACCTGGAATTTCTGAAGCTTTTGCAGTTCTTAATGTACCTCTTGCAAAATAATGAAATTTCAACCTTTTCCAAACATAGTGGCTTTGCTTTTCCTTAGACAAACTCTTGCACACATTTTACATTTCTAACTCCAATTTCCTCTGGCCTTTGTCCCAGCAATCCCTACTTGCATTCTACCTGCCATTTGCTTTTAATCTAGAAACCAAAATAACAATAATTATTCTATCAGATCACAGGTGATGTTTCCAAATACATGGTGGAAGAGGGATGTTTTTCTTTTGCTGCTCTGAGTTGAAATAATATGATGGTTAATTCAAAGTAAGAAATTATACAGTTTAACATTTTATATTATCTAATAATTATTAAAAGAAATATGTGGGTAGGAGAATCCTTACTTTAAGGGAGGTAAAGTTTTGCTAAGGTAACTTACCTTGATTTCAAAAAAAAGGAAAGTTTTTACTGATTTCTAATATTCGGAGTTTTCATATCATATCACTGCAGGCTTAGCTGTCCTTCAACATTTTGGGGAAAAAATATCCCAGTAAACAAAAATTCAGTCTTAATGTCTGAAATCTCTTTACCGAGGCACAGCATTTTCTTTGAGCTTCTATTTTTTGGGCTCCTTAAAATTTTCACATTTCTCCCCAGGATTTATCAGAATGTTTGATATTTCTCTAGTAGATATCATGAATCCAAGAAGCGCATACTCTTACACAAATGAAACCCCTCTTCACCTTGAGCGTGTAGCCAAAAGAAGTTTATAGCAAAGCGGCTCAGGGTCGTGTTGTAACATTCATAATTGTTTAAGGTTTGGGAGAATAACCAAAACGAGTGGCTTTTCTTTTTTGTGCCAGACTCTGTCTTTAACTTCAATTTCGTCATTTTCTCTCGCAGATTTCCAGTGCGCTACTTACAATTTAAATAGCGTCTGGATTTAGACCATGAAATATATTAAACCCCAGTAAAACATATACCACAGAATTTTTTTAATATAGAAGATGAATATGGATTTATGAGCAAAAACCACCAAACCTAATTTGATAAACTGAACTACACTGGAGAAAATGGTAGATCGGTGCTGATATGTGATCATAAAAATATCCTACTCTTTTCTTATTGGATTTTGGTATAAGCTGGCACCTCTAAGTCCCAAGATACAACAGTCATTAAATGCACATGATAATTACATTAAAGTCCTTAGAATATTAAAATTTACAGTTCAGATTCTATTGTTAGATGGGTAACTAAATTTAATTGATATTTTGTACACAAAATAATGCTCTAACTTTCTTCCATAGTGAGAGAATAGAGTTCCACATAGATTAATTTTCTAGAAAACTGAAGCTTATAGTACCCTAAGATTGTTAAATTATTTTTATATAGCTGCTATAAATTTACCATTACAACACTGAGGTATGCAATAATATCCTCCCATTATTCCTCGAGAGTAATTTTCTTTCCCTGTTCCCCATTTCTGAAGATTAAGGAAATTTCAATTTTGCAAATTCAAGAGTAGACACAATCACTTCCAATTTAAATCCCAATCTCTTTGAGATCATCATGCTGTCACTACAGTGTTACCACTTCCCTCCTTGCCAAACCTTCTCTGGATGGCTCTGGCTCAGGGAAGGTTGACAAAACATCATGGCACAGAGGGACAGCGGGGGCTGGGGGCGGACAAAAGAGTGCTGCAACAAGTTTGAGGTCCTCTTCATTCCCTGTGGCCTCTGCTGAGTGTTTGTCATCTTCGTTCACCTACTGAGGATGTCTGAGGTCCTGCCAAGGCCTCTGCCTTTCTGGTACACTCAGTCTACAACCTGTTTATTCCAAATGCATCCACTTCAATAGTCTTGGCTGTTTTCCCTGCACACTGATAAGATGTATGATACCAAACCATCTGACACTACTTTCAGGCCCACTAAAAAGGTAGTAAAATAGTCAGTGCTACTTTACCTGTTAAGCACCATGTTGAACAAGGGGTTTCCTTTCAAGGCTTGCTGCTTCCCTGCACACAGAAAGTCACCACAGCTAACTCCAATCACATCTCCGAATCTCTCTCTTACTCCTGCTAGTCAAATTCTTACATCTTTGGGAGTTTTTTACATCATCCTGGAGTTCTCCTCTCTCTAGTTGATGCTATAACTGGATCAGAGTCTTCCGTCCTGTGACTCTTGTTATTTTAAGCCAAGCTTTTAGAAATAAATTGCCTATTTCTTTATCAAATATAACAATTAAAAATTGGGGGGCTTTCAAGTTCATAATCTCTGAGGGAGAATTTTAAAAAACAATCGATAAATTTAAAGCAGAAAAATTACTTTGTTTTGTCCTAGACTATGTCCTTCTGTGTAAACAATGAATACTCCTAGTGAGAGTGGAGAGTTGTATTACAATTATTAAAATAATAATGATAATGAAAGAAAAGAAACTGGCTAGAAATCTCCAAATATTATCACATGATAACCAGTTTTAAATAACAAGCTCTCTTAGACTTTAACACTTTCTTGCTTCGCAAGGTAAAATCACTTAGCCTTCTATTTGATTTAGAGTCAGTTTTAGTTATCTCTTTAAAAATGTATATTCTGCAATTATGATATCCTAATTTAATCCTTTACCATGTATTAACTTGGCAAATAACTTAGGCTCTTATGTAAATTGGGGATAATAGCAATCTCCATCACATAAGATAGTTGTCAGGAATTAGTAAAATAACTCAAATAAAGTGCCTAGCACAGGGCCTCCACATAAATGCTTAATAATTGTTAGCTATTGTTGTTTTAAAATTATTAGCTATACAGAGGATTTCTTCAAGGTATACTGAATGTAAGCTCATATTCTGAATAAAGCCACATAAGTTGACTGAGTTCCTCTCTTCCAGTCAGGATCAGTTGCTACTCTCCTTTTTTTTTTTAGATTAGTTTATAAGACAGAAAAAGCAGAAACTAACCAAGTAAGAATGAGGGCCTTGGATTTGACGCTATTATTACAAAAACATAATAATCTCTAGAAGGCAGTTTGGATACCAGACTAAGGATGAGGTGATATCTTTATTTTATTCATCATTAATATTAAAAAAATACTTTGAATTAATTTTGATTTTTTAAAAATTATTGCATTAATACACCCTTTATTTATTTGGATTACTGAGCTTTGCCATCTTAAATTTTATGCACAAAGTAAAATCATCTCACCCTAATCTTAGCCCTATTGAGTACTTTAGAAGAGCCATGGGTAGAACTAGAGTAAATAGAAAAAGGAGCCTATCTTTACATGACATGTCAGGATAAGAGCTGCAAATTCAAATATTTTCGTGGGCCAAGACATTGATATAAGCGATTCCAGTAGGTTTGGGGTAAAATGGTAATGTGTGATAAGGCCTTGTGATTAAAGCAAACATTCAAAAATCTAAAGGCATTCAAATTCAGATTTTTAAAGACACTAGCCAGCCAAATTAAAAAGAGTAAGGATGAAATTTTGTGACCTTGACTTAAGAGAATGGTCTTGCACTCACCTAAAGTCAGAAGAAGCTGGGATTAAATTTTCTCCTGTTTGGCTTCTGCAGTTGAATTTTGCCACTATTGGAATAGTGCTAAATCCTCCAGAGTGCTGAGGTTGGGAATAAAGATTTGCATTATTTCCGTTGCATGTCACTGTGTGCTTTCCACGTGATCTTAAGATATGAGAGGTTGCCAGATCTGTATTTAGCATTAATGTCTTTCCTTTATCCACTTTCTATTCAGTATCTCATGTTTGGGACTAAAAAAATCTTTTAAGCAAGCAGTAAGATTTGTTTTTAAATAAAAGAAGTGGCTCTAAGTGAAGCCCTAAAAGTTCCTTCTATAGATAAAATGGCACATGTTTTAAATCAAGAACATTTTATAGTTTACTTTGAGAGATAGGGTGCCATATTAGAAAGAGTATGAATAGCTTTGGAGTGAGCTAGGTTCAAATCCCAATTCTGCTACTAATTAATCATGGAAGTTCAAGCAGGTCATTTTAGTTCTATTCCTATATTCCTCATCTGAACAATAGAACTAAAACTTCCCATCTCACAGCGTTATTGTAAAAACAAGTTATAATATACAGTGTTCTGTACATGATAGTTGCCAATAAAATGTTCACACATCATAGAATAATAATTAGGAGGCAATGTTTTACCTCTCTCTCACCTCTTGGTTATATTGCAAATTAATAAATTTGCAAAATAATAACCACTAAAAAGCTGATGGGCTGCTTTATACATAAAGAATATAAATGAGCCACTATATATGATTCTGTGTATAATAGGGAGACAATTATAAACAATTCTATATTTAATGTCCTCAAATGTGAGTTTAGACAAATCATGTAGGCAGAACAAAATATTTTTAAAATATATCACTACTTCTAGGGCTCCTGGGTGGCTCAGTTGTTAAGCTCCTGCCTTCTGTTCAGGTCATGGTCCTAGGGTCCTGGGATCGAGTCCCACATTGACAGGAAGCCTGCATCTCCCTCTCCCACTCCCCCTGCTTGTGTTCCCTCTCTCACTGTGTCTCTCTCTGTCAAATAAATAAATAAAATCTTTATAAATAAATAAATAAATAAATAAATAAAATCTATCACTACTTCTCAATTCTTACTTTGTCAGGACTATATTTTTTGGTCTTTCCTTTAAGA